ACACTGCTCCTTCCAGGACAAGTCTACACAAGACGTTTACTGTGGAACTGACTAATTAGCTCTGCAGTAAATGTCTTGGCATCTACATGTGCGCCCCTGTTAGGGTGCAGGAAACTAATAAACTCCACAGCAGGGTAGTACTTGTATTTACAGAGTACTTGCATCGTGCAGAGTTTTTGCTCAGCAGTGCAGTTGTAGACACTGACCTGGCAGGCGGGTGCATGAGGCTGCTTCAGTGTAGGGGCTGCCTGCCAGCTAGCCCCACACTGAAGCACCCCAATGCTTCAGCCAGCCCCTCCGCAGCACGTTGAGCCAGGTCAGAGCAGCCCTGGGCTGACCCCATGGGCCCTCTACCAGCTGGGTCTGCTCCAACGTGGCTCAGTGTGCTGTGGTCTGGACACATATATGAATGGTGTGCCCGGGAGCTTTTCAGGAGCAATAAACTCTTTAATTTATTGCTGTGCATTAATGATACATTTAGACATGCCCCCACAGTAGTAAAAATGTCCTGCATCTCCTGAAGTATAAAGAAAGATCAGACTGTGAAAGATTACACTGTATCAAGGATGATCTTATTTATCAAGAACAAATGGAGAGCTTTATTTTTGCCCAAATGCAAAGAAATGCATTAATTGTGGGAGGGGGGATATGGAAGCACTACTACTCTGATGGCAATGTTCCTGCCCTGAGAAGGGGGTTGGCATAGATGGGCTCTTGAGGTCCCTCGCAGCCCTGTTTTTCTATGATTCAATTGGGGCCACTACATCAGACTAGACCTCTGCTTTTCCTGGGTGTCAGGAGATTAGCAAACATGGGATCACAGATTGTTAAAGGAAATCTGTCACCCAGTGTAAACATGCAGTAGTGCAATCAGTCCTGAAGAAACCATCACTTGAAGCCCTTGCAGCTGAACTGCCCTCTTTATGCAAGCTGATTAGGAAGGCGGGTGACAATGGGTGTAGCCAAACAAGCCTGGACCCTGGTGTAACTACAAGCATAGACAAAGACAAAATAGTAGATCTCCAGCCGGTGTAAATTGTCATAGTTCTGTTGAAGCCAACATAGCTATGACAGTTTGTCAACTACAAATCAACTATTGGCCTTCAACACCATTTTCTGGCATAAAGAACATCTGGTTTCCACATCTTCTCTGCAAAGAACTGTATTGGTGATGGAGATTAAATTGGCTGCGTTTGTGGAAGAGATTTTAACAACTATCCTTTCTTACCAACTTTTAATCTCTTATGTTTGAGAGACAAGAATAACACTGCCAGGCAAAAGTGAGGAAGGACGTGCTACAGAGATTTCCCCCTGTAGAAAGCTGAGGACTCTTGTCAGTCTGGTGTTGGGGACTTTTGTATACCTCACTGCTCTTGGCAGGCCAGATTGCTGAGGTGTTTAAAACAAAAACCCTCCACTTCCATTTTTTCCATGTCAAAAGATTATGCTCTGATCTGGTCAGGGTAATTCTTACAGTTAGGGCTGCTTATTCATTATTACAACTCATCCTAAAGCTCCTTTTGTTTAGGAATGAAGCTACATACCTTGGGAAAAAAGGGCTGCCTTCCAATTGATTGACTGATTATTGTTATGAATATAGTGATCTCTGTAGATGTGGCCCAATCTATTAGAGAGATCGCTATTTTTTCTGTGACTATTCTTATGTTGGAACAGCGACACCCTGGTCAAAGAGAGAATTTTTTAACAGAAACTGGATGAGGTTATAGGAATTTTTTCCTCCAGAAAAGAATGATCACATGGTTTGCCAATTTAACTAAACGTAAAACATTTTGGCTTGGTGTCCCTCTATTTTTAGACATAAGTGTATACACATTTGCAAGTACCTCTGTTTCTTGCAAAAAGAAAAAGACTCTCCCTTTTGAACCTCTTATGAGTTGATCTGATAGTATGGCTAGAGTTGGAAAAAGTACAGAAGAAAGTGATGGGGAAAAATGCTGGGTTTTCCTAGCATTTCAGCAGATTTCAAATACTGTTATCTGGGCAGTTTTGAATCTGCTTCCATGGGATTGTAAAAAGCTAATGAGACAACCTCTGAATCACTGTATGCTTCACTTCAAAGTATAAGATTAGATGTTGAAAATAACAGAGATGGAACAAATGGAGTAACATCTCTTGATTTACAAACTGAATGGATACTAGCCCTAAAGTCTGTAGTTTTGCCCTAAATCTCTGAAGATCAGAGGGGTGGGGGGAGATGCCTGAAATTCCCGTGCCTTTTTAGAAGAGATTATACAATATACTTCATTTAAGTGCCTAAAATGGAAACTAGAAAAGGCTATGCAATTACCCCAGGTTGGGGCAGACAGTGTTTATTAATTACAGGAGCAACCTGCATTAAGTTTTCCATACCTCATTAAGACTCATTCATTTGTTTCTCAGAACTCCTTATGCCTCTGATAGCAGCCAGGAAATTGCAGGACTGCTCGGTTCAGGCCTCCATTAGTAGCCAGATCGAGCTCTTAGTTTCTCTAATTGTGTACTTAAATGGAGGATGAGTAGGTTACAAAGAAAAGAATAGTACTGAAAGATGCTATGTACTTAAGCAGGTTATGCACATAACCGGTTTGCAGATAATCAGTTAGTTAGATTATAAACAGTAAGTAACCATTTCAGACTGGCAGTGTATCATGCAGTTAGGTAAATTATGCACTTTCTGACATGCATATAGGGGGGATACCCTTTGTGTGCAGTTTTGGTTATGAATAACCTTTCAATATACAGAATTCTGAGAATAGTGCCCATGGGCTGTCGCTGTCTGTGGGTATCCCGCACGTATGAATAATGTGTAAACACAAACATAAAACTTGATAATCGTCTGGGAATTAATCTACACATTGAATAAATGCTGTGGACCTTTAAGTTATCAAGTGCAGAGTCGTCTTACATTGCATTGCCATCAGACAAAAGATGTCGGGGCTGGAAAGGTTTTGTGTAAAAATGGTTCTTTGCATTTCTGAACTTTTGCCAGACTCTTGATTTCCCTTTTTCAACACTCTGTACCTCTCTTCTATGTCCTTTAAGGTTTATGACCCTTTGAGTCATTAATCTTGGGAACCTTTGAGAGACCAAAACTGATGTTTACTACTTTCTTCTTCACTTCTACCAAGGTTTGATCAGACTTGCTCGCCAAATTATAATTATTGGTCATTATACAAATAGTTCTGACAGGAATGCCTTTTTAAGTTAAGGGCGTCCTTTAAAATACAAGCAACTGGCAGGAACCTATTTCTGTTTAGTGGCAATACTTGCATTTGCAAGAAAACCCTTCAGGCACATTAATATATCCCTATTCAGTTCCCAGTGGAGCAAAAATTAACTAATTTTGTTTAATACTAAACACTCAGGCACTTCAGTGTCTAAATACTGCAGTAATTTTAATTAAATCAAGGACCTTGGAAAACATGGTTTGATTCAAGCCAGAAGCAGATACGGAAGCAGTTACAACAGTGCTTTGCTACTTTACAGTAACAAGCAGTAGTGACCCTTCCAGTTTTCTTGAACAGGGAAAATATCCAGACTTCTTGTAGTTTTTGTTTTCATCAGCTTTTGCACTTAAAAATAATAATGTAGTACGCCTACTTTGGGATGTGGAACATTTGGCATAGCTAGCATGCTTTGTTAAGAGTACAGTATCACTTGTGTGAACTATGGAGATTGCCGACGCATAGAGCTAGTCTGTTGTCAGAGCCACTGATAGTTTAAATTATTAGTGGGTGTGAATTAAACATGCCTTACTGTGAGACTAAATATTACTTAACAGCAAACTGCAAAGCTTTTGGTTAATATTTTTGTAAGGGATTCTTTTTAAAGATCCCAAATAATGTAGTATACAAATTGTCATTAAAATGCATTAGCATTTTTTTTAAGAATGGACTTCCTCTCAAAGTATTATTTATTTCATTATGGTACTACCTGAGAACCAAGTAAGGACAGGGCCTATCATGCTAACTGTTATACAAACATAAGTAATGAAGTCCCTGTCTTAGCAAGTTTATACAAGCTATTTGGACAAAGCTGCCAAGAGGTTGGGGAAAAAGAGCCAGTGTGCAAACCATCATTGTGTTTGTCAGTGTTAGGTTGGTGCTACTGTTTTTCTTCAGATGGGGTTTTGTTGGGAAGGATCAGCTAACTAGAAATAGAAGCCAGGGAGCTGGGATGGGGCATAGAGCAAGAGAAAGGAGAAGAATGGGGCATAGAGCAAGAGAAATGAGGCCGAGGGGAGGAGGCTGTGTGGATTGGAAAGAAGAGTCATTCAACACAAGGGAAAGCATATAAAGGGTTAAAACATTAGAAAGCAACCTGATGACATCATCAGTTTTTGAGGGTCCCTACTGCTTCTGTGTGCCCATGTTGACTGGAGTTTCTGTCTGTCTGTCTTTCCTTTACGGGATGAGGAGGGTTGGTGGTGGGAAGGGAGGTGGCTGGCTCCTTACTGGAATACGTCACCCATGGTTTGGGTGTGGGACACATGGCATATGGGGCCCAATAATATCCTTAACTAGAGCAACCCCGATACAGTTCTGCCAGGGATGTAATTCAAGATTGTGATGTCTGCCCTGTAGTGGTAATGATGCTACAGCCTTCTGTGACAGCGTGGCTTCAGGATATCCTGGCCACTTAGGACAGTTAGCTGCCGTAGGCAGTAGCAGAGACACTGGAGTTCAGATCCTGGCAAGTAAATAAAGGAAAAAATGACTTGAAATTTAAACAAATATAGTGAAAACTTGAGTTTCTTCATTTTATAATAATGTTTCATGCTTAAGAGGAAGGTTAAAGAAGAAAAAGCCCCAGAGCTATGTTTAATTGTATGTGCAGATATATTCATTGGCTCTGCTGGTACAACAGCATGTGTAAGACAAAAGAGGACCCTAAATGCTCTTGCCAGTAATCACTTTCAGTACACAGGTGCATTTTTCCTTTAAAACCTTGCTTGTATAATTTAAGACATCACTTTAATTTTACAAATTATTTGTTAATAGGCAAACTTTGGACCAGGAGTATGAAGGTTGCTTACAATATACTGCATAAATTAGGCACAAAACAAGAACCGATGGTGCGACCTGGAGACAGGGTAAGTGTTGGAATGGTTTATAAAAAGCCAGTGTATGTGTTCAGGCAATATGATTCATGTTATAAAGTGATAAAATCAAATGTGGAAAAAATGTGCTTCTTAATCACAAAAGAGATAGTCAGGTAACAACAGTTTGTGTGTATCATAAATGATCTGTTGTAACACTTTCTGAATAGTAACTCCAATTTGGTGCTCTATCAGCAATAAGCTTTTTCATGAAAAAAGGTTTGTTTTTGGGGGGGCTTTGACAAAAATCCCAAAACAAGCAGTCTGTTCCAGAGACTTGTGTCTATAAAGAGCCCGAGGGACAATAAACAATATTTTCATGTGTGTAAAACTGTTGGATAATGACATGGTAGCTGGTGAAATGGTGGAAACAAGAGAAGCATTGTGAAGTGAAGAAAACCAAACTGAGCATCCTGTGGCAGCTTGTTAAAAGAAAAGATGCTGAAAGCGCATGCCAGATTAGGGTCCACTGCTATGTGATTAGGGTCGGAATAAATGACTGCAGTTGGGTGGATTAAAATCCACATGGAGCAGGGTTACTGAGGCAACATTGTACTTTAAAACGAAGATACAAGTGGTCTCCAGCTCTCCACTTCCAAGCTCACCTACTGACCTCCTCAGTATCCTTCCTGTTCTCTGCTTTACTCCCAGAGCTGTGCTGTCATAGTGACAAGCGACTGACTGTGGTTCCCTTGAGTTTGTTGGTCTTTCTCCATTCTCTACCAGAATGTGTCTTTGCAGATGAATGCAAGCTTCCAAAGGCCACATTAGACATCCCTGTAATTCCTAATCAGACAGATAAATGCAAGCTAGTTTCTTGCAGTAGCATTTGGAGTTTTGTTTGGGGGACTGAGACCTGCCGTGTCCAGGGTCTGGTGCTACCATTCACTTAATCACTTTAGCCCACTGAGAAGCAACCATCCCTAGTAAACATTAGGGGAATGCGAAGCGGGCCCTATTCATTGATTTGGATCGCTGTTCCTCAGTAGATTCAGCCGAATCTGAAGATTCAATGCTGATTCAGAGAATCAGTGATTCGGCCATAGACACCGCTGTAAATGTTTTTTCTACATACCTTGAGGTAGCAGGCGTGGCTTGTGAACGCTGACAAGGTAGGACAGATGGAGTGACCCACAGGAGTACGGGGGGGGCCTCCACATGCTCAACGGTGAACCTGGAAGGGAACTAGAAGTACTTCCAGTCCAGTTCCGGGTCTGGTGGGGCGTGC